AAAAAAAAAACAGAGCTTCTCACATGTGGGGCACCTTTTCATTGGTTTCTCTTTCTCTCAACTTATTTTGTTGATTTTTTTTTTTGGTTTGATGCCCTTTTGTTTGTGCGTGTGAGTATATGTGTGTTTTCACCCCTTGAGTGGGGAAGATTATATAGCCTTCGCTGCTGCTTTCTTGAGTTTCCCCCACAGCCCTTCCAGTACGACCCCACTCCTCACTCTTTCTCGCTGCTATTATTGATTTGGTCATGTACATATCGTATTTCTTGTGCTTAGTCCTCAAACATCATAAACATGGAGACGCCACGCTTGCGTGACTCCAGCACGCGCCGCATGAGGCTCTGCCACTCCAGTGAGTCCACGCCGTACAGCTGCGTCGCGAGGTTCTCCACCAAGTCGAGTGCCTGGATACCTTTCGTCGCGGCACCGAGCTCGAGCTGCACATCGGCCTGAATCAGCAACACCGGGAACAGCAGCAGCGCGTTTTCCTCGTCAAAGCTCTTGCCCAGCTGCACGCGATCGTTGTAGTCGACACGCTTCTGCGTTACAAATTTGAGCGACCGCTTCTGAAGCTGCTTCTTGCGCTTTTCGTCGACCATGCCGCACTGAATCTCAAGGTAGTAGTTGGTGCCGGGCACCACACGACGGATCTCCTCATCCACCCACGGCACGCGCCGCAGTGCGGGGGCCTGCTGCGGAGCGGGAACAGAGCGGCAGAGAATGCGGCGGTCATGCAGCACCTGCAGGCGCGGTGTGATGGGGTACGGGTCCGCATCGGACGCAACGGCACCGATGCCGCTCTTGCTCTCCCCCTTGTCGCCGCCGTCGTCGAAGAGATTATTGACGCGCAGCTTCGAGCGGCTGCTAACGCTGCGCTCGTCGGGCGCGGAGGTGGTGGAGGAGCTGGCTTCCATCTCCTCAAGGATCACCTCCAGGAAGTTTAAGACGACGGCGTTCGTCAGGCTCTTCGCGCGGCGCTGGGCGTAGTGGTAGAGCGCCTCCTCCGCCTTCATGCACGTCACCACTGCGGCGTCAAGCTCCTTCTTGCGCTTCTTCTCACCCTGTCCACCCTTGAACTTCTCAAAGGCGATGTACACCGAGTTCGCGAGCGACGACACCCAGTGCAGGCGTAGGTGCTGGTCCAGGCAGTCAAGGATCGACTCACGCTCCATGTCACCCCCCATCAACATGCCTAGCCGCTGCCGGCGGTGCTGCTGGCCATTGCCGCGCAGCGGGTTGTCGCCATCTTCGCCGTCGTCGCCCATCGCAAAGTCACGGGCGCTCTGGAGGCACCGCATGAAGGTCTGTGTGTGTGTGGCGATGTAGTCCACGTGTGGAGACGCCTCATCGAGTCGACCGGCCGCCATGTAGGAGTCGGCGATGTCGGCGCGCAGCAACAGGTAGTCCAGCACCTGTATGAGTCTGCTGTCTACCGGAATTTCCAGATATCCAGTCTTTTCGTCTTCTCCTTCACCCCCGGCTTCGTTCTGCTCGTCGCCCTCGTCTCCTCCTTCAGCGTCCTCCGTTGGCTTCTCCGGAGCATTCTCTGGCTTCTTGACTTCCTTAATCACAGGAGGGGCGGCCTGTGCCTCCGGCTGCCCCTTTCCATCCGCCTTCTTTCGGTCCGCTTTGCCAGACTTCCGCTCCCATTCAACACCCACGTCGAGGCGCGACCAGAACACGTGGCCCTCGTGCTTCTCAATGGCCTGGTCGTAGTAAATCTCCGCGTAGGTGTAGCGTCCCTCCTGCAGGGACTTGTATCCCTCTTGGTACAGCCGCGAGTGCATGTGCACCTCCGCCGATGCGCCAGATCCCATGATTAGTGATTTCTCTTTGGGTTTTGTGTTTGATTGTATTCCCTACGTTCCAATTCTCAATATTCTTTCTTTGTTTTTGTTGTTTAGTCACGCTTCAGTCTGTGCACTTCTTGGTTGATTGATTGTTGTTGTTTTGTTGGTGTTTTCCTTCTTTCCTTCTCAATCACGTCTTGTTGTGAGTTGGTACCTTTCCTTCACGCAGTATGAGTGTCTGTGCGCGCACAAGCGTGATTTCTCTTTTCTTTTCTTTTCTTGGATATTTGCGTATCCTCTTTCTTCGTTTGCTTTTCGCTTAGAGCGTGCTTTACTACCCGCTTTACGGATCTTGTTGTGCAGAGGTGCGTGAAGAGCAGAAATGCGCAGGAAGGAAAAGGCCACAACGACATGCATGAGAGAGAGGAAGCGGGGGCGCGAATACAAAGAGCAGGTAACAGTATTGGCTATAGCACATATATATATAACTGGATGTCTGTCTGCAGGCACGCACAGCTTCACTGCTGATGCCGCCTCGGCACACACACACGCACACACACAGAGAGAGAGAGAGAGAGCGACAGACGTGTTTCCACCTATCGGAAGCGCAACACCAGCCGCACATCTCGCTGCGTCATACGCATCACAGACTTGAGCCTCTCGCAAGGGCAGCCGTTCACCAGCAGCAGCTGCCCACTGCGTCGTGTGAGAAGTCGCTGGAGCTGTGCCGCGTGCTGAGCATCACGCTCCGTGACTCCTGCAGTGGCAGCCCACTTGGAATCATAACACATCCGCAGCGCAGCGGGACGGAGCAACGTGTACGGCTCACGTTGAGAATTCAGCTGCGACGGCGCACAGTCATTATTCTTGCGGCTTTCGCCACTGCTGTTGGTGTCAGCCTCATCAAACTCGAGTGTGAAGGGCCACGGGACCAGGCGCGATGGGCGCAGCACCTGCACCTTCGCGTCGTCCTCGCTGCACGGCACCGCAGTCACGGCGTCCAGCTGCTTCACAGACGGTGCGCTACAACACCGGAAGTGCCACGTCGCCGGCGTCAGCTGCGCCCCTTTGGTCCCCACAGCCACCGTTGCCTTTGTTCCTTTCTTCGCCGTCGCCGGCGCGGCGCGTGGTGTGGGGTTCTTCCGTTTCGGCGCGGCGGACAACACCACCTGCAGCAGTGGATCATTCTCCTCCAATCCCTCCACTGCGGTCACAGCATTAGAAGAAGCAGAAACAGCAGCAGCAGCAGCAACATGAGGTGAGCCCGCTGACGGAGATGAAGGATGAATACCATCAGGTCCCGTTGTCACTTTGGCCGCTGCCTCAGTGTGTGATGCCGTACAGGAGATGGCTGCAAATATGTCCTTGAGACGTTCGTGTGGTGCCTCAATGGGATCCACTGCGTCGACGCCACGTTGCGGCGATTGCACGTGGACGCAGAAGTACATCAAGAAGCGCTTGCGGTGCAGCGTTCTCTCCACTGAGCGCGACCCGGCTGTCGCGGCCAACGTGCACAGTTCCTGAGCCAGCGCCAGCGCCACCCTGTCTTGCTGCTTCTGTTCTTGCTTCTGTTGCTCTTGTTGTTTGCCGAATGCAGCATAGCGTCGTGCGACGATCTCAAACTGGAGCAATATCGCCACCGCCATTCGCACACGCGCCATGTCAACAACCAGCATTCCCAGTTGCCGTACAAACACGTCGACCGACGACGATGGCCCCGCCTCTGCTGGGTCGTTCTTCCACACCGGTTGTCTCATTCCTTTTACCTCCTCTGTGAGCGATGTCGCGAGCTGCGCGGACGTTGTCGCAAAGGCGAAATGGTGCTTGCCCAGGAGAGCAAGTTGCTGTTGCTGCTCTTGCACCTTCTGTTGCCGTGGCAGTAGTGAAGAGGATGATGGCGCCACGTCTACAGTTACGGCGCCTAGCGACTCACGCGCTGTGGTGACAACCTCCGCTGGGATGCCAAAGAACCGCCGCATCTCCGCCTCATCTACGCCGAGACTTGCCGCACCGGCAGCCTCGTCCGTGCACAGTCTGACGGCACTCTGCACGATACGCTTGTGCTCCTTGTTCACAACCTTCCACAGGAGCGAGCGGAGTTGCTTCTGCACAGCGGTGTGCTGCGCCACCTCCGCCACATGACGCGCGGCCACACGCGCCGACCAGCAGAAGTTGATGTGCGGGGAGGCCGTGACATTACCATCCCGGCACAGACCAGCAGCTGTGGGTGGAGGACTCTTGTGCGGTGAGTCAAGGCGGCCGTAGCGAACCGCATGCCGCACGCACGCAGTGAGGGCAGTGTGGAGGAGAAAGCACGCCTGCGCGGGACCGTTCACAAAGTCCATGCGAGAAGCCTGCTCCTCCACAAACCTTGCCACGCCGCTGGCCACACGCTGTGGTGACGATCGCTGCAGCTGGGTGTGAGAATCTTCGCCGCCATCGTTGCTTGCGTTGCCGCTGCCGCTGTTATTCCTCTCCAGAGAGCCCGTCAAATCGTCAGCGCTACAGACCAATTGTCGTTCTTGGCCGCGCAGGATTGAGCGGTGGCGGAGTGCTGCGAGCATTTCATCTGAGAGGGGCTTGCAGTTCGTCGATAACGCCGCCGCACGCCGTTCAGTTTGCTCCGTTTGCAACGGAACGTCCACACGCTCCGTTGGCTCGGTGACAAAATTGCACGGCAGCCGGCGCCGCTTGAGGTGTGCGGCAGCCCACGCCATAGCCAAGGGAGAAGCCGTCATCTTCTGTCTTCCACTATCCCACCTCCGTGCTCCTGCACTTGTCGTTGCCGGTTGAGAGCGCCCGTTGTGGCCCCGCCGCGAGTGTGCCATTCTCGTCCCTACTCCTTCCTTTTTTTTTCTTTGGGTGCGCTGCTTCGCGGCTTGAGTGCCAGCACACACCGCTCGCACCGCTGCGAGATGAACGTCAACCATGGGGTAGAGAGAGGGAGAGGGAGAGAGAGAGAGAGAGAAAGACAAGCAAGAGTTCATGCTACGCACACACAAAAGCATATATATATATATATACATACAGGCGCACGAGCTGCCCCGTACGCTTCTCACTAGTGGGAAGCGAATCGCTGTGAAAATGTGGCCCATCCCCAGGCATCCCGCTGCCGGTCGCGCGTGTGGTCTTGACATCCTTTCTCCTCTCTTTCTCTCGCTGCGTGCGTATTGATGCTAGCCGATCGTTGTTGTTTTTTTGTCTTTCTCACTCCCGCTATTCTTCTTTACGCCGCGGCAGCAGAAGCGGTGACGGTATCACCACAGTCTATGAAATTTGATCTGCATCAGCAACGCGTGCTTCATGACGTCAAGGACCTCCGGCAGCCGCGAGGCGGGAGTGCCGTTGACACTTAAAATGCGCCAATCCCCCTTGTGTGAAAGGAACAGCCTGTAGAACGGGTGCTGCTTCTGCAGCCGCTGCCGTTGGACGTCGGCCACCAGCGGCAGGCTGACGATGCGTATTGTCTTGTTCGGCTCATGCCCCACCGTCTCCAGCGAGAGGCCCCACTTCCTGTCGGCCGAGTGCCGCCGCAGCACCATCTCATCCAGAGTCAGAAGGTCAAGTGTGACATCGTTCGGCAACACTAAAGGCGTAACAGCCTCAGAAGAAGCAGCAGCAGTAGCATCCGAAGGGGAACAAGGCGCAGCCTCACCATCCTCGGCACACGATACCCGCACATCTTCCGTGTCGCCGTCAAGGGAAGGGATTACGGCTTGCCACGGTACTGCGCCCTCCGCCTTCGCATTCATCATGTGCATCGGCACAAGCGGTTTCTCCCTCAGTGCAGCGATGTCGGCATCACTCAGTGGAACTTCCATGGTTGTTGTTTTTGTTGCCGCTTTTGCCTTTCGCATAAAGGCATAGGGCAATTCTGCTCCACTTTGGTCCTTCCTTATTATTGAATGGGAAGAGGCTGACGGCGTACGATCCTGCGCGGCATCACTTTCCAGAGCGGACGATTCATTGCCTTCCTGCACACTGGAGGAACTGTGCCGCTGTTGCCGTCGTTGTTTCTGCTTTGTCAGCTGCTGCTCCTCTTCCGATTCCTCCCGCATCTTCGCGGTCTTATTATATGTTGCCTCTCTCTTCTGCTGTTGCTGCTTCTCCCGTTCAGATTGCAAGTGTGATGCATGTTCGGAAGCAGAAATCGTCTCTTTCACCACTGGTTGCTGCGGCTGCGGCTGCTGCTTCTTTTGTGTAGTGTGGTCTCCACTGACGCTGTTGAGGTTCTTTGTCGTGTTTTCCTTTGCTTGATCTTCCTCTTGGAGTGGCACCTGTGGGAGTGGTGGCGGTGGGATGCAGTGCAGATCCAGTACAAGGGTGTTGACGACTGAGCTCAACGCCTCTACCTGGACCGCGCTTTCCACCGCTACACCATTAATCCCGCCAATGCGCACTTGCCGTGGGTACGCCGCGAAGAAATTCTCCGCCTCCTTTGAGAGAATATTCGTAGGGACGTTCATGACTCGCAGGTCGCGTGTGATCGCCACTTCCCACGAGACATTGTAGTCGTCGCGGTGCAGAACCAACGTCGCACACTGAGGCCTCTCCGGTTCTGACTGCTGCGGCTTCTGTTTCTGTTTTTTTTCTTCTTGTTTTCGCTGCTTTTGCTGCTTTTGCTGCTGCTGCTCATGGAGCTCCTTCTGCTGCGTGCTTGGTTCCAGGCGCCCGGTGAAAAAGGCTAGCTGCTCCACCGACGGCTTCAAGTCCAAGTCCACCTTAAGCTTCAGGTAGAGCCTTGTCTGCCTCGGCGACAAGGTGCAGAACGTCTCAGCGGCCTGAGCCGCGTCCAGCTTCGTGAAGTCCACCGGCTTCAGATTGTACGAGACGACCGCCACGCCACCCTTCGTTTCCTGAAGCAACTGATGCAGCCGCTCACCGGCGCCGCTAGCGGAGCGCACCATGGCACTCACTCCGGTAATTCTACCGCTGCTGTTGAACCGCACGCCCCACGGTGATGTGGGGTCGGGGCGCAGCATCATCACGTGCATGTTGTTCGGCTCGAACGCCTTAACGTGGGAACCCGGCTTTGAGGTTGCGGTGAGCTCCGTTTCGAGAACCCACTCCGCCATCTGGTAGAACTGCTCGTGTATCACCGGCAGGAGAGCGACGGGGACGTGTGCGGAACCCATAGCCCGCGCACACGGGAACGTTGCGAGCAGCCGTTGATACAGCGCCTCGAAATCGTCGAGCAGCAGCGAGGTGGCACGCAGTGCCCGCAGCTCCTTCGGTGTGTGTGGCAGCGCCTCCCACTCGATGCTACCCACAAGCTCCTCCTTCACCCGCTCTCGCAGCCGCGCCACGGCCATGTTGATACGCAGCTGCACGCTGGGGCACGTCAGTACGTGGAGCCCCTCCATCATCGCCGTGCCGGGAACGGCACGGCGCGCAACAGCCGCCGCCCAATCGCCACGGGAATGAGCCGTAGCAGTAGTCACAGTTCCAGGAGAGGGGGAAGAAGTGGCGAAAGAAGATGGCGGTTCCTCTGCAGAGACGAGTCGTGGTTCCCAGTTGCGGTGGCCTGCAGCTGTTGCTGGCGCAGGTGCCGGCAGCGGGGACAGGCACAGAGCCACATCCGCCGCCAGCGCCAGAAGCTCGCCACGCGGCGTCACGTCATCATCCACCGCCGCATCTGCACGCGCCGCGAGGCGGTCGGTCACCTCCACCACGCGCCGTGCAAGCCGCAGCGAGTACGGGTCACTCTCGGAGAGCGACTGGCGGTAAAACGGGGGGCTGCGCAGCGCGCAGATGTAATTGTTGAGTTCCGTCCACTGCCGCAGCCGCCCCCACGTTGCGAGGGCATCTTCGAGAAACTCTTGCTGCACCGGTGGCGGCATTCGTATGGAATGCAAAGGTCACTCTCTTTCACGTTGTCTCTCCCTCTCCCTCCGCTTTTTTTTT